ATCCCTGTGCAGGGAAAGCACAACAATGGTCTCGGTTAGTCATTTCCTCCCAAACACGTGGGGCCCCGCAGTGCCTAGCAGCGTTCCTTACGCACTAGGCCCAGCAATGAATACTTGTTGACTGATAACATTTTAAAACAAAAATCAGTCTACTACTGTTCATTTAATCTAACAGATGACGCTATGTCTGTTAAATCGGTCGGAGTAGGGTTGGCTCATGTGGTAGTAATGTATTGCACTGTGCTAAAAATCCTGCCCAAAGTGTGCAAATTTTAAAAAATCAATTATCATATTACTTAAAGTTTTCATTCAACATATGCAGTAGAACAAAATAATGAGTCTAGTGCTTTATTTTCAATACAGAAAGCTATCTGGAAGACCTTCAAGAACTCTTCGAGCTCTGAGAAAGTCTACCAGGCAAAGGAAAAAGAGAAAAAATTCAACAGGCTAGCCACCGTGAGGGCTCCCCAGGTCGGCGTGTCCAGCCAGCTTCTATTTCTGCCAGCCTCATCAGGCTTCCCAGCTCTGCACAGGGCGGGTTTGTCACTGGCCAGTTGCACATGTGTGTGAGCAGCCTCCTTGGGCGGGCTCCGCCTGCCCCAGCAGAACCGGTGTGCTGCAGGAGACGCTCCAAGTGGCCGCTTTTGTCCTGAGAAATGCAGAGGTGAGCTTTTCTTCACAGCAAGGCTTCTCTCCCCTGATTCAGCATACCTTGCACTCCTGATCTGGGAACCTTCCCAACTGAAAATTACCTTTAGTTATGCTTTAAAAGACGTCGCTGCTAGGAGAAGGCCAGCTCTCATGCAAATATTGGGGTTTCCAGCGCCTTATCTGAAGGCACCCTTCAAATTCCTCTGCGCTTCCGGCTCCCGAATGGCTCTAACAAGCAGAAAGCACCCACGGGAGGGTGCAGTCCTGCAGCCTGAGTGGTCACCCCCTCTCCTCTCCTCCCCTCTGCGCCCTTGAAATGCTCTTTGAAGTCACCCCCCCAGGAGGTGAGGGCTGACTTTGGTACTTAACACCGGGCCACATGTGGCAGCTACACAAACACCGCCAGGATGTGAAATCTACTACTTGCTTCAGTGGCACTTCCCTCGCCCTCAAATCTTTTCATAGATGAACTTGGGGGGGGGGGGGGAAAACCGAAATGTGTACGGGGCAGTAGATCCTGGGACGCGTCCTGATGCTTATGCCACACTGTCCCACGAGTCTGCAGTCTCGGGCTGCCGGGGAGCGGCGTTGAACGGAAGCCGGATGGCCGGGGATGGGGGAGCTGCCGCTAAAATATTGGGTGTTTCACACTCACCGTCGGTCAGAGGAACATATGTCCGAGGAGGCCCCCGCGGTGTCTTTCTGGGGCCAGGCGCTGTGCTTGTTGACGCTACTCCAGAGGATGGCTTCCTTCATCCGCGGACGAAGGGCCGCATGCACTTGCCAAAGCGGCCCCGGGCCGGCTCTCCTGTCCTCTCTGCCTGTGAGCTGCAGATGCGGGTCCGGCTGCTCCACGCGAGGGATCGGCTGCAAGATGATGGGCGGCTGCCCGTCCCAGGCTCCCGCTCCGGCGTCAGGCAGACCGGGTACAGGTCCTCGTTCTCTCTCACCCCGATTCCCGTGGACCCGTCTTCTTGGAGCCTCCGTTTCCTCGCGTGTGAAAATGGGCATCACGGGGACACTCCCATCCTTCTGGGAATGAAGTGAGATGGTGCGAGTTAACACAGGGAGCGTGGGGCCTGGCACCTCGCGAACGATCCCTCTAAGGGAGCTCCCGTGATGAACATTATTAACTTTCAACCCCAGCGCGCTCATCTGCACGCTCGGCTCCCCAAGGGGCAGGGCTGACGTCAGCACAGCTGGAGCGCAGATGTGGGGGGACCGAGGAACAGCCGGGATCGCCTCTGTGCACAGATCCCAACCTCCGTCCTCCATAAAGAGGAGGAATCCGGCCCATTTCAAGGTGACACGGGTGCTCTGACAGCGGCTTCCTCCGGGCAGCACGTGCACTGGAAAGCGCCCCACTCCCTCCGGTCTAGGACCCCCGAGACCCGCTTTGGTTCGCCTGGTTCATGCTGCCAGGCTTGGGGTGAAGAGTGGTGGGGGACGGAGCCGGCAGCCGAGAGAGCAGGCGAGGTGAGAAGGACAGGAGAACCAGGAGGGGCGATGTAGGCTGAGGCCTGGAGGAAGAGACCAAGTAAAGGCACAACCCACCAGGAAGAGACAGTGAAACAAAACCTTTACACCACGAAAAGAACAAAGCATCACAATCTACAAATTACTGAACATCTGAGAGGACTTCCGAAAACCACAGTTCTCAGAAACCGACAGGTGAAGTATATGAAAAAAAGGTAGTGAGTATTGGAAAACACAATTAGCAAGCTTGACTGAATAACCAAACTTAAGGTAATTTTCCGAAGGAGGAAATACATTTTCTTTTTAAGCATACAGGGAATGTTTACAAACGTTAACAGTGACTACGAAGGAAATCTCAATAGATTGCCCAAGGCGGCTCCATTCTTTAGCTATGCATAAAACACACAAACAAACACCAATCAATAAAGAAACGCAACTGAGTCAATAACTGTTCACCTGAAAAAGCAAATGCGTGAAAACTTAAAATTTCTTTAGAAGAGAAAGAAAGAGGACTGAACAGATAGCAAAACGCACTATAAAAATCTCCGCAGTCACAATTCTGCAGGTGACCCTCCCCCGACCGAGGAAACACCCACCACTGTGCAGAGTTATAACCTGCGGGGCGGGACCTGGGCTAGGGGTCTGGAGAGGGCAGCAGAAACTGGGAAACTTTTACCTTTCGCCTGTGCATTAGTGTTCCATCGCTGCTGTCATCAATTGCCACAAACGTGACAATTTCAACAACAAAAAAAGATGACCTTCCATTCTCTCGGTCAGAAGTCCAAACTGGGTCTCACTGGGCAGCAGTCAGGTGTCCGCAGAGCTCTGATCCTCCGGGCCGCAGGGGAGACTCTGTCTCTCGCCCTGTCCGGTGGCCAGTGGTGGCCGTGACCCTCGGGGCAGGCCTCCGTTCCCGGCTGCAAGGCCAGCAAGAGCAAGGCTCAGGGGGCTCCCCTGTGGCCTCGCTCTGGCTCTGCTGCCCCCCCGCCCCCCGCTTGCACATCTGTGATTGCACTGGGCCTACCTGGCTTATCCAGGTTCATCCCCCTATTTTAAGGTCAACTGACTGGTGACTTTAATCCCACCTGCACCCCGAATTTCCTTCTCCGTGGAATGGAGGTTATTCACAGGAATTAGGACGTGGTCATCCTTGCTTACTGCAGCTTTCTATGCTTCTAAACTATTGCTGTTTGTTCATATAAATTTGTCACGTTATCTAATTTGAGATTAAGAGTATTTGGTAGGTTCTTTTTAACTTTAAAGATTTAAACTTGCATTTATGCTATAAGGCAAACAAGTGTGACACTGCAGGATTTGACAAATGGAATATTCTAAAGAGATGGCATGTATGGGGGGGTATCACATGTGACACAGATGATGTTTCAAACCATGGAGACAAAAAATGGACAATCTGCAAAATGAATCTGTGGGCATTACTGGAAAATAAAAGGGCTGACCTTTTCTTCACACCACACATATATGTAGAGTGCTTTGGATATTGCCCGGCACAAAGGAGTCACTCTATACATGTTAGTTCCATATATGATTATGACATGTGCACAAAAATGCACACATACATGCTGAAAACACACACACGTAGGCACACTCAGAAGTTCATCGTAACATTTATTCACCACAGCAAAAAATTAGAGATGACTTTAAATGACATCAGTAGGCAACAGATAAATTAATTTTTACCTCCAAAATTTGGAATGGCAGTTAGCTATTAAAAAGAATGAGGAAGGCCCGAACCAGTTTGGCTCAGTGGATAGAGCGTTGGCCTGCGGACTCAAGGGTCTCAGGTTTGATTCCAGTCAAGGGCATGTACCTTGGTTGCGGGCACATCCCCAGTAGGGGGTGTGCAGGAGGCAGCTGATCGATGTTTCTCTCTCATCGATGTTTCTAACTCTCTATCTCTCTCCCTTCCTCTCTGTACAAAATCAATAAAATATATTTTAAAAAAAAGAAGAATGAGGAAGATCCGGGCACCAACATAGGAAGATGTCTATGACAAATTAGATGGGGGGAAAGCAAGTCACACGCTTCTAGGGAATGATCCAAAGCATGATCTTTCAATATGCTATAAGAATTAATGTATGCACATATGTAGCTGTATAATACACACAAAAATGTTATGAATGTTTGGTCTCATCAAATTGTTAGTAGAGGAAAGTGGGATGGAGAAGCGGGGTAAAAGGGAGAGTTTATCAAATAAACATCTGCAGTTTTCTTTTCTCTATTCATGTAAGCGTGCATTGTTCTAAAAAATGACAAAACAGAAAGGAAATCTTGATCACTTAGAATAAATTCCCACAAAACTGACACAGAAACAATGGTGAGCAAAAGAGAATTATGAAGTCAATTTGTTCTGCAAGTGTTTTCTTCCAAGGGAAGAGAGAACGATTGGTAAAGGAATTAGCCTAAGTTATGCTTTGAAGAATGTCTGTTTAGCTATGGTTTTCCAAATACTTTGAGTGCGGGCTAAGAATGTCCAAGCCATCCATCTTCCCAGGACAAAGATGACAATACATAGCCTCCATTAACTGTTCCCATTGTTCGTACTCTTTCGTAAGTTTTACATCCCCGAGAGAAAGAACGTTTTAAAAACTCAAATCATGGCCCTGCCGTATTACTTAGGTGACATAAACAAATTAAAATAAGGCCAACCTAAGCCAGTTGTGCTGATCAACCTGATCCCCTCTGAACGCGAGAAATGAAGTCAAACACCCTTTCGTGCTGTTTATTAGCAGGGTAACATAATACATTTTGACAAGCTGAACAGTTGTAACAGGCGGCTGTTAGAGCCTCGGCAGGGCTGTTTAGAATGAAAACAGGAGGGAGAGACAGCTCTATAACTGGGTTTTAAGAACAGCTCAGCCATCAACTACCAGTATATCCTAACCAAGTACTTTTATCCAGTTAATTTACGGAGGGAATCCCTCAGGGTCTCCAGCCGTCTACCCCTGCAGCTCATTAGGGCCCCATAGCCAACGCTCCTCACTGTAACACTGAACGCGTTTATGCCTAAGCTGTAATTAAACTTAAAACAAACAAGAACTTTCTTCCCTGACAGTCCGGCTATTTTTAAATTGACAAAGGCATGAACTTATAGAGGATTATTTGGAAAGCACTATACATTTCAGCCACTTAAGGCAAGACATTTGCCCAACTGTTCGTCCTGCATGCAATTAGAAATCTAAATACTTGGGTAACGGGTTTCTACTGGGAATTAAACTTGCAGATCTCTTACAAACGAGTAATGTGGTGAGACTCGCTGTCCAATGAGGTGTCTTATTGAAATATCCCAGGCCGTTTCACTTGTCACAGCTGTCGTTTCAGCCGCTTGCACTCACAGTGTATAGCTTTCATTACGAAAATAGAAATTTGTGTCCTAAGTGCTGTTACATTACTAATGCTAAATATTTAAGTCCCTGGGGTTCCAATTATGGTTGAGCACTGGCAACACTGATTCTACTTTTTAATAACAACTGTAAAAGCAATCTGAGCGATTTTCAATTAACTAAATACATAGCGAACGAGCAACCTCTTGTCATTTTGCCCTCCAGGACCCGAGCTAATTGGTGTGGAATAAAATGTTTTGAAAATTAACTGATATTCCGGTCGGCGCGCTGTGACACCGTGAAGTTACCGTTTGCGAAATGAAGTCTGTCCTCTAACAGTTCTCCTCAATGTAGTTTGCAGATGTGAGAAAGTACCTGTGTTGTACGTACTTTACAGTGCGTCTAATGGGCGCCGAGTTGAAAGTGGAGAGCCGTTTCTCTAAACACCAGTCAGCGTCCATAATCCCCTCCATTGTTCACAGATAAATGCCACAGATTTCAACAGGAAAGTTTCGCAGGTTTCATTCATTGCGTGCGTGCACAACGTTAGCTTAAACACTTTAAGTCTGCCGCAAGAATTCCTACCGTTGATCATATTCACATAACAAGTTCACAGTTAAATTTTTAGGTTTCTTTCGCAACAGAAAGTGACAAACCAAACATCTGGGAAAGTCCTTCCTTTGGAAGCACTTCGCTGCAGGTTCTCTCTCGCCCACAGAACCATGTCATAAATAAGCTCTAAACAGGCTTCCCCCTTTAAAAGGAGGGTGAGGATGAATCCTAAGAGCAGATGCCACTTTACCCACATTTTAAAATGAATCTTTTCCTGAAGTGCAATGAAATCTGATGAAAGAGACCATCTCCTTGTAGGAAAAAAAAGCGTCTCTGACAGGTGTTCTATTGGCCGTAATCTGAAAGCCACGCTCGGAAACGGAATGCCTTTTGGGCAGCTGTCTTCCTAACCAAGATGATCCCCTAAACAGGTTTCGCTGCCTGAGGAATCTCGGCAAAAGCAGTATGCCTCATGGAATCAGGCACAGGAAGTGAAACTAATCACTCTGGGAGAGAGGGCAGAAATAATAGGGAAAATGTATCTCCATACCGATGTTCAGGACTTAAATCTTTAGTATTTCTAAGGTTTTCGTAACATCTTTTGAGAAATGACTTCTAATTAGAGAATTAACTTGATCGTGCTAGTCTGTGGATATAAGTAAA